GGTGGGGTGGGGGTGGGGGCGGGCACGGATGTGAAAAAACAGAAGGTGTTGTGCATGAGATGCACAGGGTTCCATCAATTCGGGAATGTTTCCAGACACAAATGCACATGCGCGTTGATGACAAGCACTGCATCGTTTTGGCTCCAACCACAGCAGCTGTGCCGCACGAATCAATGTTTTCCTGGCGCACCCCGCCCCCACATACCCGTCTCCAACCTGGCAGTCTGCAAGCTCCTGCCGCAGCTGGGCCGCCGCCACCTCCCACAGCTCGTTCGTGCCCCTAAGAGCTGCTATCTGCGCCTCAGCAGCCTGCCAGCCCGCCTCTGCCTTGGCCAGCTTGGCCTGCGTCAGGTTGCCGGCAGGTGGCGGGGCAACGCAGCAGGGTGCGAAATCTCCGTACAGGATTAGGCCCGCAGCAGTGACAAGGGTGCGTGCACGAGCGGTGCGTGTCGCCAAAACTGCACCCAACCCACATCTCCCCGCAACCCATGCCACTCCCTTCGCGTGCGCCCAAAGCCCGGCCCCTCTCCGCCGTGCCAGCCCTCAGGTCCCCCCACCTTTGTCAGGATCATCTTCTCGTTCTGCCTGTCCCTGGCCGCCCGCATGGCGTCCATCTGCCGCTCAAGGTTGTCCACCACCCCAAGCTTGGACCGCGCGCTGTTCAGGTCGTTGTGGTGCTCGTGCTTCTTGGCCAGCGCCTGCTTCAACTTCTTCGCCAAGACGTGTTGCTGCTCCTCCGAGTGCGCCTTGAACTTCTCCGCCTTGAGAATGACGGCGGCGAGCTGCTGCTGGAGCTGCAGGCGCTCCTTTCCGGCCTGCGAGGGTGCGTAGGGTTGTAGAAGGTCACATGCACCGTTGTCAGTAATGGGCTTGGTCGAGCCACCCACCGCAAGTTGCAGGCTGGGGGCTCATGAGCAGCGACGGGTTGCCTCGTGGTTGTGATCCTGTTGCCCCCTCTTGCCACAAGTCCTGTATTGTGATAGGCATGCTGACACACATGACACAGGGACTCCCCCACGCTCGACCCTAGGGAACCCTGATACGTTGGCCGCCAGTCCTACCTGAATGAGGGCCTTCTCCAACGCATGGAGCTGCAGCACCACCTGCTGCTGCTGCTGCTGCTGTTTCTCCTGCTGCTGCTGTTTCTCCTGCTGCTCTTTTTTCTCCTGCTGCTGCTGTTTCTCCTGCTGCTGCAGCTGCTGCTCCAGCTGCTGCTGCAGCTGCTGCTCCAGCTGCTGCTGCAGCTGCTGCTCGTGCTGCTGCAGCTGCTGCTCCAGCTGCTGCTCCTGCTGCTGCAGCTGCTGCGCCAGCTGCTGCTCCTGCTCCTGCTCCTGCTCCTGCTCCTGCTCCTGCTCCTGCTCCTGCTCCTGCTGCAGCTGCTGCAGCTGCTGCAGCTGCTGCTGCAGCTGCTCCAGGCGCAGCTGCTGCGGCTGCCCTATATACTGCAGCTGCCGGAGGCCGGGGCCTGGCGGCCGGAGTTGCAGGTAGGCTCGCGCCAGGTCCGTGAGGTCGGCTTCCTATGAAGATAAGGGCGGTGCGCGATTGGTTGCGGTCAATTGCAGCCTGGGACGGGTAAGCAGGCTGCGTGCAGGATGCGGCGATGTGGGCGCCTGGAGCGCTTGCATCAGCGCGCATGCAGGGGCCCGCAGTGCAGGCTATATCCACTCCCAGTTCTGAACCACAAAAAATGAACGCACCATTTCGTCCATCCTTGCATTCTGAGCAAGCAGCCCGCTGAACCGCGGCAATATCGTGTACAGATCGCCATACATTATGATATCAGGCTAGTGAGGCTGGAAAGAAGAAGAGTCGAGTTATTTTACATGCGGTAACAACGAAGCCGCGCACACTCGGTAACTAATCATGTGATCTTGCTGGTCAACTGCCTGCATCGATGGTCAAGTACAATACAGTAATCAACCATGTTCTTTGCTCAGATTGTAGAAGTAATTGCCATTATACAAGCACCTTTGAACATGCAAGTACGGTAGGTACGAGCGCTCAATTACATGGTGACGTTTGGAGAGGGTGGCCGCTACCGACGACACTAGACACGGCGAGCGGCAAGCAGCAGTGTGCAAGTGGAGTGGGGGATCAACGCCCATATCCGCTCTGCTGGTGCTTCACACTACACAGAATCACCTGCATGTCCGGTGACAGCCCAGCCAGGTCAGCGGCGCAGCTTGAACTCATAGTGGCACCTCCGCAGTGTCCGTCAAAGCACCGCTACCAATTGTCCTGCTGTTGCAACATGCCAAACGGCCAAAGTCATGACTGGTCGGCAGGTGCGCTTGCATGCCTGGATGCAGCCGCGATGGCATGCGCCCAAGGCGCCAGCACCAGCCTGCGACTGACCTGTGCGTGCAGCCAGTGTTGCATGCTGCTGTGCAGCCCCCCCCCCCAGCACGCATCAAGCCCACCTCCAGCTCCTGCTGCGCGGCCTGGAGGGCCGCCATGTTGCTCTGCGCCTCGGTCTGCAGGGCCGTCCCC